ATATTATTATATTAATTCAACTTAAAAGCTATAACAAATAATACAAATTTAAAATTCCAGACTGATAAACCGTCTCCGCTCAGAATCGTTTTCCTTATACAATGATATTATATCATTGAATTCAAGTTTAATACAATAATCCATTAAACATTGATCCACTTTTAACCTACTGTACAGCAGAGCGACATCCACTTACCTGCTTTCATGAAATTTATAATGATAACAACCCGTTTTATAAAAAAGATACTTACAATAAATTTATGAAATTGGAATTATGACTGCCATGGATGCAAAGTATAATTGTATATTTTGCAGGATGCCCAATAACAATGATTTAAAATGATGTAAGTCATACAATCTCCATTACCCACCTCATAAAATTAGTAAATCCTCACGAGCCATTTCGTGTAACTACCTATGTTTTATTTTATTTTTTTAGAACCCTTTATTTTTAGTTAAGCGTGTTTGTATTTATTTACCGAAATAAAATCCCTAACTATTTACAATGAGTTTACTGGTGTATTACTAAGTATATATTGTACCTAAATGGCATGCAGAATGGGAAAAAAAAATACATTTGCAAAAAATGTCCACTATGCATATTTACCAAGTCTTACTTCAAATGTGATATTTATAAGTTAAAATTAAATGTACCTATCTTACGTTCAGCGCATATTATTAGATAATATGTACCTACCTAAAAAAAATCTAAAACCCATAACCGCTACAATGGTCAATGACACATTGGCACTGCATACAGGTAGGTAATGGTTTATTTTATTTTAACCGGCAGGGAGGCGAGTATAAAAAACTAAAAACGAATACAAACTCGCAACTCTCCACCGAAGTCAGTTGATATAATGTGTATTGTTTATTTAAATCTATATAGTATTCTAAACTACCAGACAACACCATATTGTGCAAACCTTTCACTATAGACTTTCCTGAACAATGAGTTCGACGTACCTAGTCTAGTTTTAACCACTTGTCATTTATCCATTACGCAGTGTCCTTGACAATATGTTTACTGTAGCACGTGACATGGGTCTATTCAAAATATAAAAAGTTTATTTTTTATTTTTAGGACGTTTTCCCTTTGTCCATACAATGCACGCACTTCGGCACTTGAACACAACTATGAATACTATTTTAGTATTTTTGGGTGTTAAAAAACTCTACAAATAAAAATTGATATTATTCAAACAACTTAGTTGGCAAAAAAAAAATATGTTTTTAATACCTAACGTATAGCGGAGCGTTACTTAACCACTTTTTTTTTATGTTTTTAAGTTATCTATAAGATCTAGTAAAATGACTCATTACAATAACTATAAAGAACACAATATTTGAGGGTATGACATATATTATATTTGTCTTAATATTGTTTCATTAATACAATATCCATTTAAATTTACATACAATTTTTTTTATTTTTAAAGTCAAATATAGGTAAATTCAAATAATAGAAAAATATAAAACCAATAATAATTCAAATCCTAAAAAAATGTATACCTTAACAAATATTTTGCAATATGTAATTTTACTCAAAAATCATGAAAAACTCATTTCATATTATTTGGACAGTGCCATATTTAAAATGGGACATTTGCATTGGGCCCACTCAAAAGATGGGCCCACCGACTTCACGCAAACAAAATATTAATTTTATACCTTTTTATTATACTTTTAAAAAACAAAATAGATTTTACTTGGATATTTTGGTGGGTTATAAAGTATAACAAATTTTCCTTGAAAACGATGACTTTGCCGACAAAAAAATTTAATTACCGTTATTATCGTAATATCGTCGTATTATTACTATTGACGTTATTGTCTTGCGTTTTTACGTGATAGACGTCAGTCGTATTTATCTATTGATAATTTGTTTATTATTTTTAATAATTTAAAATGTCAAAAAAAAATACTCAATTGATTCAATGAATAGAAAATTAAATGATAGACGAGATGAAGAAACAAAAAAACTACATGGTAATTTAGATAAATTTTTGTTTAGAACTAGTTTATCTACTATATAGCGCACAATCGAAATGTTTGTAAAAACTGATTAGCTGAAATCAAATATAACTTAAAACATTATACTTAAAAACTTTTACTTTGATATTATATAAGTGTAATAATCAAAAATACTAATTAAAAAAAAAAAAAGTTTGCTTTTTAATTTGTGTACCTACTTACTTGAATAAATATTAAACATTAATAAATTATAGACTCATTGAAAGTGTAAAGTGTTCTTGTATATTAAATAATAAAATTTTTAACAATACAATTTTCTTCTATGATCTAATTAATCATGTATACCTATGCAACTAATTTAAAAATACAATATGCATACATTTTATTTTATAATTGAAGAAAGTATAGAGATGGACAAATTGAGGCCCAAAATTGAAAATTGTATTGGCCCATAAATTGGTAGATCAGGCCCTGCACTTGGATGCATTTTATCAATGTCGAGCGTAGGTCTGAGAGAAAACAAATATTGCACTGAGATTCTCTAAAAGTGTTAAATATTAAAATATTATCATTATATATTTTTCTGTCTATGATCATTATTTTAAGGCATGTTTAAACTTATTATTTTCTTTATTACGTAGAATAATTTATTAAGAAATAAAAACTAATTACATATAAAATAATTAATATTAATCTGCATACAACCAAGGATCATAAAAAACCTGTATTTTTAAAACCAACATTTTACCTCGTAAAAAACATAATAATAAGTCACAATTTATCATTAATTATTATTATAGTATGTACCTATTATTATATATATATTTGTCTATATTTATTGATTCCAACTCCGTTTGAATGTGTTACAATATAACTTAAAATGGTACATTCAATTCACTAGTTATAAATTATAATATTATAAAAATGTCATTTAAAACTTAAAACCACTCAACTCAATGAAAACTAATTTTTAATATTTTATAGTTTTGTTTAATGTAGATCTCTTTTGAACTTTGATACTATGTTTGGATTATAAAATAATATTTTTAATTAATATTTATATAGAATTAATTAAAAACAAAACTAATGTAAGAATTAAAGTATACATTGCGCGTTTAAGTTTTTCAATTATTTGGCTCGTGGACTATATTCAAACCGTTTTATTTTTAATTTATTTCATAACTCTATGTAATGGTTTATTACTTAATATTTGTTGTAATTAATTCATCAGCTGTGTTTGACTGCACACTATTGGTTGGTCTTGATAATAAATATGATCATTCGTCTCATTTTAACACTAAGTAAAGTACATTTTTACTGTTTTTCTCATTAAACTATCTTACAGCATTAAATTTTAATATAAAACAACAAGAAACGCAATCGTAACCTTTTATGAGCGATAGTTAGTACTTAGTATTATACTAACACTGCACATTTTTACAACGTTTATATATAATTGTCTAAACACACAAAGTTTTAATTTACACATTTCAAGGTAAAATGTTTACTTAAACAATTAGGTAACTACTTTTATGAATAATTGTTTGACAGTTAAATGGTTAATTTTTTTTTCTTATACGATTATAACTTTTCTAGATTTTAACACATGTAATAACTAACTTTTTTTGCATTATTATTTGTAGTCGAAACTACAAATATAAATCTTAAAAGTTCGCACTTAACAGATTATAATATTACTCCTTAAATCTTATAAGTTAATAAAATAAATTAAAATTCTACAGGCTTTTCAATTTTCAACTATTTGTAATTCAATATATTATGGTTGAAAATATAACAAAACAATGTTGTTTTTTATTTTAAAGTTTTAACCTTAACGCATATCATGTTTATATAGAAATTGAATAAAAAAAGTATAGTCTACATCAGCGGTTCCCAAACTTTTTTAGCTCACGGCGCCTTTTTTGAACTAAACTTTTCTCAAGGCGCCCTTCCCAAGACATAGCATGAATTTATTTTTAGACCAGGTAAATTTCTACGGCAACGCGGCGCCCCTGAAAAGACATTGCGGCGCACCAGGGCGCCGCGGCGCACAGTTTGGGAACCACTGGTCTACATACTAATACACTTTTAACACTGAACCCTTGGTAGAACTATTTAATATATCTATATAATAATATAATAAAGACATCGAATTGTTTATTATCCTTTTAATGTTGGTAATTGAATTGGTAGAATATTCAGCGAGTACATACCTAACACAATAATATACTTTACTTAGGTACCTATCTATTTAATATGTTAAAATAAAACAAACACTCACAAACATACAAAATTCATAAATACACAATAATCAATGGAATATAGACAGTCTTAAAATTTTAATTTTATATTATATAAAGTTTCTTAATATATATTTTATTAGTATATTAACAACTAAACATTTTTGTTTAGAAATATCGTACTGAATAATTTATCATGATATGGTCCGTCATGTACATTCGGGCATCAGGTAGCATAACCCATGAATGGCACAAGGCTTAAATTAGAAATACTTATAGCTACATTTTTATATTATATTGTAAATATGTAAAAATAAAACTATCGTTTTAATTAAAAATGATTTAAAGAATTAACATAAAATCACATATTATGTAAACTATACTCTGTCTCAATTAAGAGACCAGCTCAGGTTGCTACATTGGATGTGGTTAACAGAACCAGTCACCGCCCTACAAATATTACATCTAGATTTTGACATAATATGTTTTTACTGAATATCCAATTTTTAAAAGTTATTTATAGCAGTCTTATTTATGAAGACTGTAATGGTTTTATCTTAAACGTCTACTGTTCGAGAAAAGGAAACTAAAAATGGACAATGCTGAGATGTCGGTCACCTGATATGTTTTGTAAATTATATACCTACCTACTTTAAAGTGGTTTACTCAAATTTAATTTTTAAGAAAATAAAAATAAAATGTCCATTATCTAAACCCTTTTAAAATGCTTGAATCCTCTTGAAAGTTTTGGTCATTAATTTGGAATTTTTTTTCGTTTCGTTTTAGTTGACGGAGGTGGTTGTCCTTCACCCGGCCTGACGCTGAATGGCACTAGAGTTGTTCCACGGTCGGGCATGTCACCGGACTTTTCAACACTGTCTGAGGTGAAATTCCCAGCACGCCTGCCGTCCCCTTCTGGCAAGGGATCGGCTTCAGTGGCGTCCTCATCCTCCGTAGATGCTGAAGCGCCGTCCAGGATCTGCAAGATAAAATGTGTGTCGGGCCAATGGGTCGGTCCCCTGTGCCAAGGTTAGTTTACATTTAATGATATATACATACAATGTACTTAGGTATAGGTACGCATTATTGTGGTTTTATTCGTCTTATTTTTAAAATCCATTAGGAGAAACACACCATTCCTTTCCCCGGCCTCTTCTCTTCCAACCAAAATCTCGTACGGTCAGTGGTAGGTTTACTGAAGCTTTTGACAATTCTTATCGTTTTCTGAACACTCAATGAAGCGGTTGTTACGTCTTGTAGTGATCTTATTCGTGTATGCATATTTTTGATGATGTGTTCGCAATATAAACATTGTAGGACTCAGTTGGATCGTGATTTTTTTGTTTTGTCGATAAAAACTTCTTTATTTAGTAAAAAGCTTGAAAATGTAATGCAAGGGTCCTTATAAGTTTTCTTAATAGAAATGCAAAATTATAAAAGATAGATAGCCACGATTAATTTTTTTATGCAATTAAAGTCCACATTTTGACAAAATTCATCCAAATCCAGAAAATTTTGCAAATTATTTTTCACTTATTAATAATAATATTTTTACTTATATAGCTAACATTAGAAATTTTAATAGAAGATTCTCAACAAGTTTTTCCACCTTTATCAAAAAAAAAAGTTCACCGGGCAGTTTTTATTAATTTTTTGTCACGCTTGCATCGAAAGTTTGGTTTTCGATAACGGCCGAAGCAGTGGAAAGCGTCCTTTTCCGGTCCAGCTGGTGGTAAAGTGGGAATCCTTAATAATGCCTTTTGGTAAAGTGGAAATTCAAAAAAGTGCTGGGCGTGCATATGACGCGTACCTATCCCTTGCACAACCAGACACTGAAATCGGTACCACGGTCCTTAAGAAACATAAACTTGAGGTTACATCTTATATTCATATTATAATATCCTTGCATGACGCTTAAACATACATGATCACCGCTCAGAATTGTTTTTCGTATACAATGATTTATCATTGAATTAAAATCGAACAAATTCATTACAATAACATACTCGACAACTACCTACTGTACAGCATTATTGCAGTATCCACTTGTACAGTTGTCCAACTTATTATATTTACAATTTCATTATTTTTATTTTTTTTTTATTGTTTTATTTTATTTCTATTTCTTTTTGAAATAATAATTTTTTAATTAGAAATTTGCTTCATACGATACCCAGTTGAAATAAAAATGTGATGTAGATACATGAACGCACTTTTTAAAATAATTATAACACTAAATGACAATATATTCTACTTAAATACAATCCATTATACACTCCATAAGGTCTATAATACAAATGGTGTAATTGGCTAATTGCGTTTCTTCGTAGGCACACTTAAAGTTTGTTAATATTGCATCACGAGGCACTACAACTTGTCTCTCTAGTCTCTACTTCTCTCTGGATAGTATAGTGTGTTCAATTGTCATAACCGGAAGGGCTCTTGTTACAAGCTCTAAACAATGCGGAACCACAATGTAAGGCCACAATATGACATTTACAAATATTTATCTCAAATTAAAAATAAAATTGTTCATGACTTCGAGTCGGTGCACGTAACATATGTGCTCATGACCTGCTAGTTTATAATTATAAACAAATAATAGTAAGTAGGTACTACGTGTCTATATGTGGTACTCTCACGACAAATAAAATAAAAAAAAATATATAAAAAAATTAAAATATGAAGAAGATACAGTTGACAATCTATAATACACAATTCTCTACTTAGAACTAATATACTGGGGGACGGAGTGGCAGAGCGGACTAAGGCGTAGGTTGTGACGCGCACTGTCGCCGGTTCGAACTCGACCACGGGCGGCAATTTTCTTCGGGCAGTCAAGGTGTCCGGAGAGAGAGACCGCCATCCCCGCCCGGGCATGGCAGATACCTAAGGGTGCCCACTTCAAAATTCTACCAAAACAAACACAAACGTGTTCAACATTTAGAGTACCTACCCTCCCTCACAGTTAAACAGGCTAATGACCTTAGTTGTCGAAGCCTCAACCCAAAAAAATAAAAAAATGAATATACTTTTATGAAATTGTATAATGTAGTAAATGGCTTAAATATTTAAGTTAAAACTTTGGTTGAATTATGCGTAGTACAAAGCACACACGTGACGTAAATACGGATATAATTTTCTGTAGTAAATATCTAGCAACATTTATAATTAACTCTTCTCAAGCATAATAAAATATTATTTATTAAAATTATAATATTAATGAATTCATTATTAAAAAAAAAATAATATTAATGAAAAAAAAAATCATCAATTTTGTGAATATTTGTTAGTTATTAAATATTAATACTTTTTTAAAAGCACCGACTTGTAGATTCTTGAAAAATAAATTTAATGAGAAACGTTTCATTGATATCTGGTTTTTGATTTTTAAATCATAGAATATTAAATTATTTATTGTTTGAACGTAAATTATTGCGTTAAGCTAATTTGTTTTTATTTAATTTTAATTTTAGTTTAGTATTAAATACGTGTTTTTTGATTATGTAAATAATAATTAAACGTACCTATTACATTTATATTCCAACTTTTTTTATGCTGGTAATGCTTCGGGTTATTTTGAAAAGGTACAATTTTATTTAAAACTCTCAAATCTTAATTATATTTACTATTTACTCAATGGGTTACAGTAAGGAGTTTCTAAATTGAATAACAGTTCGAGGAACACTAAATAAACAAATCAAACATTAGGTAAGGAAAACATTTATACAAATCAAATATATATGTATACGTCTATATAATATATAGACATTAGACATATATATATATATAGATATAAATATTTTCGACCAGAAATAATGTGCCAGTTGATAATTATCTGAACATAATATATATAATATGTTTTATTATTATTCAAATAAACCCATGGCGTCAATGAGCCATTGGGTGATATTGAAAACATTGAATTTAATTAAATATATAAATATTAACGATGCACAAATGATCTACAAGATTATACGGTAGGAAAAGTTGGATCTTGTTGTCGACGGTGACGATGAATTTGTATTTTTAAGTCGGTGGAAATAGAGCTGGGCTGCCGGTTGAGTGATGCATCTTGAGTTTCAGAAGCATAGATTTTTCCATGCCCTGAACGTACGACTTTCTTAAAAATCATAATAACTGCAATATAGACCCCACTGCAGGTAGTTCATTTAGGAGAGACCACTTTAGCCATTAAGAAATTGTGTGTGACATTTTTATGTGGCCGACTCTTAGTCTATTGATGCCGATTTTAAAGACATTCTAGAAAATTTGACATCAAAAGGCAATATTATATAATATTATATTGTATTTTTAATTTTTTTATATGACATAATATTAATGTATTGATTTTAATGTAAATAGTTATTAGTTGTCATCTTATTGGTTTTAATGTTTAAATTGATTCGTGGTGTATATTATGTATATACATTATACATTGAATAATATACTTAAGATTGGAAATGGTCATAATTGTTTTTCTTGAATATCACAACAATATATAAAATCACCTCACTGAGTTTTTATGTAAATTCTAGGTATGTTTCATTATGCAATTACTAATAAACCCTCTCTTGAGAAAAACATGGCTTTTTGGTAGAGATGCTATATTTTTCTAAACTAAATTATCATAATTTCGTTTTACCTATCGGTAAATAAATATATATATATTATAGGTACCTCATTGATTTTTCTAATATGCATTAATAAAAAAGTGTCTTATCGATCTTGAAGAATATTGACACTAAAGGTCCATAACAAACACACTTTGCCAATATATCTAATTATTGTTATTTAATATTTATCCAAAACAAGTTATTATTAGTTCTTTTTTATGATAACGCATTGAATTGAAATATCGTTAATTTGCTTTAAAATGTATGATTCAATACATAACAATACAATTATTTTGTTTATTTATTAAATCTTAATATTATTATAATGTTTTTATACCATACAACTTTAAGGTCGATATTATACGTTTTTTTTTTAAGGTTGAATTGTTCAACACCTAACAATGGCAATCAATGCTATACAATGTACAGTATAGGAAATATTCGGTTAAAATGTACATTAAATGCGTAACGACACACAATAAACTATATCTGGTAGTGCAATTATAATAGTCTATCACAAATATATATAAGTACCAAGTTTGAAAATGTACTAATTAAAACGGTTTCAACCCCTAAAATCGATTGACATCATCGATTTTAAGAGGTAATAAATTCTTTGGCTCTGTGACTGTTCGTGCACAGGACTGTGGTCGATCGTTATGTTTGCCAATTGCAAATTTGTCCTTTGAAGATAGATATCCCAATTATCTGCGGACAATGAACTACGTGATCTGAAACGTTGTCGAGCGGTCTGTAAACTCTGGTAATCCCAAGTGATCTTCCAACCACTGAAACCAACTTCGGTTTCATTCTAGACCGAGGAAGCGAATTATCAAGGTAGTGGGATATAGGGTGAGGGATGGAAGGTAACGACAACTATGATTCCCAGTGTAATGATCATGGGAAACGTCCACCGATTAACGCACAACATTAATATAATATAAATATTATTATTATTATTATCTACGATCGAAGCAAGTGTAGAGGTCGAAAACTAAGCAGCATCATTTTTCATTTGATTCCGTGGACAACAATAAAAACAATTTCAAAAAATATTAGTTAAACACCCAATACATTGTCTCTTTTTAGTTTTATATCGATTTATGATAATACACGTTTTGTTTGCATGTCATAAAATATTATTAGAATATAGAAACACCGTCCCCGCTCAGAATCGTTTTCCGTATGCAATAACTTATCATTGAATTCAAATTTATCACATCCAATACAGTGATATACTCAATGACGAGGTATACAAGACTCCTACTGTACAACAGAGCAGATACCTACCTATTTTCTATATTTTTTTTATTTGTTAATCTACAATAGATTCATAGGTAATTTAATTATTAATATGCATTTGAAACTCATGTTGTATAGGTATACTATTATTTCTTATTAAACAAAACTTAATTTAATACCTACGCGTGTTTATAAAAATCATATTATGTATTTGAATTGATTGTTTGAATGAAAACAATATAAGTACATGAAACGTAATTACTGAATAAATACTTGATGTCCCATTTAATTACGAGGGAATACCTAACAAGCACAATAAACAATGTTAATTAATTGTTATTACGGTACATGCATTTTTAAAAATGATAATTTTATTGTGTTCTGATGTTTAATATTTTTAATTTTTAAGTGAAACTACAACTATAGCTAAATCTAAATTTCGTTTAGTTAAAGTATCGTAATATATAGGTACCCCTCATAGGCGTAATCTGGAGATGTCAAGGGGGGTGGTGGGGGGAAACCTGCCCCTTCAGATATTTAACTGAGTGGGCAAAAGCGTAATTTTACTTTATAGATTTATAGTTTTAACACATTCCCCCCCCCCAATAATTTTCCACAGAGTAACCCTATGTAGGTGTACTTAAACATTAAAATTACATGTTATTTTAATCTATTGATGGTTATTATTTTTTAGAAATAAATGGTGATGGCAGATTTCAGCCAATACTAAAATCATGTGCATTGGAAGAAGTGCCACCAAATCTTATTTTATCATTTAAAAATCGGATTATCATAGTGAGTATTTTTTCTATATCTATTAATAATAAAAGTAAACGAAATGTTTTTTCAGATATCAGGAAATAGTATGGTCTATCTACCTTAAAATTATAAGTAGGTAACTAGGGGTTTTTATACAGAAATAATTATTCTAGGAAAGAACCCTAGATACTAACCCTAGATACTTATTACCTATATATTAAAATTATTTGATCTTAAAATGTTCAAAAGTGTTGGTCTTAAGGTAAATTAATTTCTCAACTAACTTCTATACGCGAGATTTAGATTACGTTATTAGCTTATTATTTTAATTTATTGACCATTAAACGTGGTTAGCTATTAGGTATATATTACTGTACAAATGGTTTATGTGGGTTTGGAAATTTATAAGTCATGAAGTAATGTATTATTCACAGCTGACATTGTTTAGAAACGTAAGATCCTATAATGGTGAATGATATACTATATTTAATATAAAGTATAAACTATTTAACTCTAACATCAGATTTTTCAAAATGGATTTATTCAAAACATATTTTTATGGTTACAAATGATAATATAATGTACAGGTATCTTGAAATTAATCTTACATATATCATAATATTACGTACATATTTAATATTCATGACAATAATATAATATGTATTATATAACATTATGGAAAATAATTATAACAACTAATAAATACTTGTTATAAAGTCTGTTTCGCTTATTTTTTTGTGAAATTTAAAACGTATATAATTGGTATGTTCGGCATTTAATCGTTTTAACAACTGTCAAAATATAACTTATTTTTAAGTGTTAAATATATTTAATTTAATAGTTTTAATAGTTTATGTTTCAAACAGCATACAATATTTTTTTACGCACAAGAGTTATATCAACACTGTTCCAAATAAAAAAAAAAAATTTAAAAATTACCTTTTCGGATTAGGTACTTACACTACTCTGATTTGATTTCAAATCTTTAAAGGTTGCATATGGAAGTTTTTGAGAAAATGTTCTTAGAAAAATATAAGACACTCATAAATAAAAATATAAAATTCAATGTAAAACCAATATACATTCCAAAAATCCTAAACGATAAAAAATAACAGATCCTAATCCTAACCTAATCCATGTTTCTGTTTTAGATTCTGAGCGGAGCGATGAATACATTGATTTGCAATGATGAGTGTTTTTTTTTTATTTAATTTTTTTTTTGTGTCTTTGTACACGATAAGTAGAGTAACGTCTCCTCTTTACCTATCGCTCTTTCGGCGTGGTTCTGTTGATATTAACAAATGTTGGGTAAAAAAGATGAAAAATTCAGTACACGGCTCCTACTATATATTGTTACAATGACATTTGAAAAATATTAAAAATCCTTAGTCAGTTTTTATTTACAAGCATTTAAAGTTCAAATCTTGACAACATACGGAAAAATCACGAAAATTAGTAAATTATTTTGAGTTGAGAATTCATTAAAACTTTTCTTTTTAAATCTAAGATTTGAAAATGTAATACAAGATTCCTCATAAGTTTGTCTACCTTTATCAAAACAAAAATGTCTATAAGAAAGTCAAATTAAATTTTTATGAGAGTTTGAAATTCATATTTTTACAACATTTGATATTCACTCGATTTCTCTTGTAGGTAACGATTTTCTTATTTTATTGTAATTAAATACCTAGTGACTGTAAATACTTGAAAATTTAACTAAATAATTAAATTAATAATAATTATATTTTCATTTTATATAACCATATAATTTTGAAATTATTTTGACTCCTTTTGAGCTGTTTACGGATATTGTTAGTTTTCAATTTATTTAGTTTTTTTTTTCTATAAATATCAATAAAATGTTATTTGTTGGGTAAAAAAGCGTGAAAGTTTAATTGAATTCTCCTGCAGATATATTGTTACAATAGCAGTTAAAAATATTAAAAATACATAGGCAACATTTTTTTTATAAGTATTCAAAGTTCGAACTTTGACAACTTTTATCACATTAAAAATTTAATTACTATTTTGTAAATGAAAATGTATAAAATGTTCAACGTTTATAGCTAAGGATTGGAAATTTAAAACAAGGTTCCACGTAAATAAGTAAATATATAAATTACTTTATTCACAATAATATCATCAAACATACTTAGTAATATCTAGGCTGACTGACCGTTTTAGCTCAGAATCGTTTTTCGAATGATATTATATCATGGAATTAAAACTTAACACCATCCATGACAGTGACCCTACTGCTCAGCACAGCGACATCCACTTACCCACTTTTTTCTTGTATTAACTATCAACTAAATTTTGACAACTAGAATGATATACATAATAAATAATAATATATTAATAGAATATGATTAATACAATATACTAAAGTAATATGTTAGTTTATTAATATATTATATCTATTATTAAAATATAACTGTAACAGTGTAATGTTAACACAGATAGAAACAGATGATTTTCCAAATAAATTTCACTATTGTTTACATTGCAGTATGTACTTTTTTTGATACCTATTTCATTGGAAACAAATGTATAGCTACTTAAAGTTTAAATTTTTAAGAAAAGATTATAATACCTGGTAATACTGAAATCAATACTTTTTCTTTTTGAACAGTTTTTAATTCATTTTAATATACTTTTACATAATTTTAAGTTTAAATCTTTAGAATTAAAAATGATTATATTGTATTTATGTAATATAATAACATTTTATGGTTTTATGAATATTACAATATAATTTATATTTTATATTAAATCAGACAATATTGAATAAGAAAGTTTTATCACCATTTCTAATAATATACAGAAAATAAATTATTGAGAGAAACATACTTAGTAGTTAGTTATACTCAAAAATAAACCTATGGAAATTATGTGAATAGTGAAATTAAAATTAAGAACATGTCTGAAATTATACGCTTGTAGCAATTATTCTGAAAGAGTAAGTTACAACAATCACCAATTATTGGTTAACTATAAGAAGTTAATAATTATCCCATTGAATTTGTTTTAAGAAGTTGTGTTTTGTTTTGAGTTTGTTGAAAGAAAATTAACTTCTAAATAGTATACTTTTAAAGGAAAAACTGATTTCAAAATACCCTACTAAATATTTTCAATATGTATATCTCAGTGGTGTATTTAGGTTTTTGTCTTGGGGAGGGGGATATGATTTTATCCAATCTGGGGATATTTAAAGTTAAAGGCTTTAAGTAAGGACTCCGAAAACTTTTGCATATTATATATACAGCCTGTGGGGGGAGGGGATTGTTCTCCTGGGTCTTCCCCCCCTCGTAAATACGCCTCTGGTATATCTATTATTCAGATTGATTAATACTACATACGTTCCTAAGCACCTATTTTAAATTGTTTATTTTGTCACCAAAAATATTTGATTGATTAATACAACATACGTACCTAGGCACCTATTTTAAATTATTTATTTTTTCACCAAAATATATTTGATAAATATTTTTCTATTAAATGTACTAACTATAAAGGATTCTTATTGATAATTTTAAAACACAAAGTACAAATTACATTTGTATAATAGGTAGTATAAGAAGAATATTATAGACAGTTATTTATTGTAGACTTTGCTTGATGCGCAAAATAATTTTAATATAAATTTAAATGTTTCTATTTTGGTATCATCCATAAACCATAGTTTATTTTCAACTCTTTTCTTGGAAATTCGGTTGAAACGTAGATTTTTGCACTTCGAATCTTACCGATGTTCTAAACATTATATAATACGTAATATTACATAATATTATTATGCTTCACGTGACTGGACAGTTGCAATTTGATGGCCCATAATATGCCTTGTAATATAAAATTTTCCAATATAAAATATTTGTAAGAAATTTAGTTTAGACTTCTATATATATAGTAACTCGTAGTCCCTCCGCTGGGAAGCCTCTACAGTCTGTCTAATCTACCTTTTTATTTTTATTTATTTTAACCTATAAACCATCAATTGTTCTTCTTTTTTTGTAACTGATTGAATAGAAACATATGAATCAAAAAAAAAAAATATATATATATAGTAACAAATAATTTAGATTATAATTGTTATGGATATGTTTTTGAAAATGTATGAATTAATAATTTATTAAATTAACAGAAAAAAAATCACAAAATATCTCTAAATATACGCTAAAAATATATAATAAAAATAACAAAATTGTAAAAAAATGGAAATTTATTAACTAATAATTTAAAAAAAAATAATTTCATCTATATCTATAATATCTAGTGATTTTATCTATCTATATTTAGATAATTTTTTTGTCCAAGCACAACACTGCACAGAATTGATTAATATTTAAAATTCACACTAAACAAAAAAACATTTAATTTAACTAATTATATTTTAGAAAATAATTGATGGGACCCTTATAAGAAATACTCCTTTTTTAAATGATCCAATTTCTAAATAAAAGGTTCAACATAAATCATGCTGACAATAGTGTCCATGCGGGCTCAGCACTATTAATTACATCTTACTACGCTCTATATTTACAAACACTGTTAAGTTTTTGCCAAGATTACTTGTCTTACAGTCAAGTGTTATCACTAATAACATCTACATTATACAATATTACATGAATTTCTCTATACTTCAAAATACATTTAAACAATACAATTATTTAAATTTTAAATTTTATATTGGTATGCTATTGCACATAGACCTAGCCAGGATTATGAAATGATGGTGGGGGTTGTTTAAGTATAGATTAAAACCAAGTTTTTACAGTTTTCGTATATAAATAAATTTATGGTTCGGGACTTGGCTTGTTGCACTAAAAATGATCGAAATATGCAGTCAAAATTGTCAAGATATGCTTAAATATATGAAGCTACGTTTTTATATTATTTTTGAAAAATTCATAAAACATATTATAATTTTGGTAATAAAAACTAAAAAATAATTTATACACGGGTTTACTAATTTGAATATATGTAGGTACCTACCTCTATATTGATTAATATGATGGACAGAGGACACTATTGTATGT